GTTTTACTTAACATTTGCCATATTTTATTTATCTATGCTACTGCTATTTGAAGCATTTTTTTAGGTTTTCTTTACAGAAAGTTCTATAGTTTGGTTTTAATTGGATTCGAAATAAGATTTTTATTATTATTATTAGAGTTGCAGCTTTCCTACGTGAGCGCTAGGACGTAGAATGTTTTGCTTGTTAATAGAAAAGTTGTCAATACGTGAAACTACTAAACTTACTTTAAAATGCTTTATGAGTCAGAAGAGTAACCCAATTGACTGGATACTTGTATAGTTAGTTAAATGTCAAAAATCAGACTAGAATTAAGAGGAATTCTCTGATTTTCCTTCTAGGGTAGCAAGCATGCAAGATGCAGCAGATCGAGAGAAGAAACCTTCCATCTTACAAGAGACCATCCACAATCTCGTGAAATCTCGTGAAACCAACGCAATCTGGTTGATTGATAACGAGAGTGGCTTGTTGGATAGTTATTCTCTTTTATATGGAGATGCAACAGCAGCGCATCAGGAGTCTCGTTTTATTTCATTTCATGAAGACGTATTAAAAACAATGTGTATATTTCGTAAGTCAACAGTTAATCATTTACGTTGGCTTTACCATCAAAAATATCCTCACAAGGTATTAGTAGAATTTACAGAGCAATACGAATCTCTGTTTAGGAGGTTGCCAGACATATACGAAAACAAGCAATTTGTTAGACGTTTCCATGAGCGTCTTCGGAAGGTTTATCATCACATTCAAACGTGCAAGCTACAATTTGTGCTCTGATGTTGTGACATGTGTATAATATTTATCTAATGGTATAACATGCGCGCATTTATATAGATATATATTACATGCAAGTTTTATAGAGATCAGAAATAATAATTTATATTGTATATCAAATAAACTGTGTGAAATAATTGTATTAGTTTCTTACCACTGTTTTAATAATGTCAATAATTAATAAAAAACCAAAAAACATAACACAAACACTGCTAACGTAGATTTAACTTTAATTATCCAAACTCTTGTAATTGTATATTTATTTCGAGGTTAACAACCCTATACTAAAATCTTAAACGGTTGTTGCTTATGAGCTTGAACTCAGAACTAGGTGTCTGTCATGTAGTGCACATGACATTAAGAAAAGTAATTATTTAAATATTTCTACACTATCTGAATGAACTTTGCCAGATCACGAGGCTTTATTTTGGCGCCACTTTTAAAAGCCAAGTTGGTTGTGTTTAGTCTCTCTATCCTTACGATAGCATTTAAAGTATCCAGAATCAACTTCAACAACTTTCTTATTCAGTTTTACAACCCCTACCTGACAGACTCCTTCAAAGTACACCAAAATATTTCCAGACAAATTTGTACAAAAACGAGCTACTATACGAAATAGACCCAAGTATCTAGTAAAGACCTACCATAAGTATATAGATAAGCTACCTACAGCTATCATGTAAATATACTACTAGCTTAACATATTACGAGTGTATTAATTTTTTTTTTTTTTTTTTTTTTTTTTTTTTTTTAACGTACAATACACTCCTAATGGACTAAACTAGAGAAGTGTGCGATTATTTATGGAACTATTTGTGAATGTGCAGAAACCAAACGAAAGATAAAGCGATTACGTCACATTAAATGTTAAGAGTATTACCCTAGGAAAGTGGTCAGAGTTAGCGCTCAGGTTTTCGTGTTGTTATAACATTAGCAATTTCCTGAATTTAAAAAGAAAAAGTAAAAATAAAATTAAATAACTGCCAAGAGGGGGGGGGGGGATCTCTGCATCTGACCCCCCAGACACCTAAAGACCCACACAGATATTCATTCGTTCGTAAAAACTTTCTCTCACACAATGGGAAAACCAAAACCTTCTAAAGTTAATTGATATCTTCAGTACAGAGATATGTTAGATATAGCATTTCTAAACAAAAATGTTTAATTTTGTGTGCAATTAGCTTTACGTTAGTAAATTTCTATAAAGAATGAAGAAAACTAACAAGTCAGGGGATATAGTATCAAATATTATAATGTACTTTGCTGTATATTATTAGCGAAACATCGCAAAAGAAAATAAGGCTTTAAAAAAAAAAGAAAAGTTTTAGTTAAAAGTGACATCTTTATATAAAATCAAACCATGATGAATTTGTTTATCAAATAATTTTTTATTGACATTAATAAATAGACTTGACATAATACAGAACTTACGTCAACATAGAATCATAATATACAAACAATGCACAGCTTTATAAGCTAACCTTTGACCCAATTTGTACTTCCATGAATCACCCAAATATTGTGTAGCTACATATCTAGCCAACAAAATGAAACTTGTCCAACTTTTTGGAGTTTTGAAATTAAAATGAAATAATTTTTTTACAAAAAAAATCAAGTAAAATGTATTTAGTTATAAATAGAAAATTTAAACCATTTTGATAATATAACTTGCTGGTACCTTTGATTAAAGCTAAATAGTATATGCCTAATTTATTACTCAAAACAAATATTGAGGTTTTGTAAAATCACATAGTACTTCTTGAAGTAGGGATCTTAATCATTAGGAATTCACAGAAAATGTACCTATAGCACACAGAATAGTACAGGTTACTTTATTATTAAGCATGAATATTTTTCTAATATAGAATAAAAATACTGAAATCATGTTAAGTACTAATTAGGTATCAAAATACAAAATACGATTGATGTTCAATAGCTGACTAAGATTTTACAAGGAAATATTTCTTGCATTTAATGCACACAATAACTTTATCATGCGCATTTAATGCCTACAGATGGAGCTATACACATACATCCTTAAAACACAAGAGTTTCCCGCATTTAAATAATGGTAATTAGCACAACTCCTAGTGTAAATCAAAAATAATAGTTCAGAATTTAGCTGGATAGAAATTGTTTCACAAATGACTAATTTATCCAGCAAAAATAATTATATAAAGAATTACGTCCTTGTTTAAAAGCAAGAGATAATTAGGTTTATTAACGACAAAAACAACTTAAAAACACTTCTAAAGTCCAAATACTGAAGTCATCTGAATAAATCAAATTACGGTAACATCAATTTCAATTATCATAAATCATAGCAGCACAAATTTGTTTTTGTAACTATGAGAACATTGGGATTCGATAAAAAAATATTAAGACCTACATTCATATTGTAATTACAAAGTACTAGTTTTCAAAATTATTTTGCAATTAAATTTACTAAAGTTAAGTGATAAAGGAAATAAAAAAATACCAACACAAACAAATTCTTCCAATTTACGAAATATTTTATGATTTTGTTTCGGAAAGAACAACCTGATTTTGAGGATAATACAGTTGCTCACTTTTATGGTCACAGGTGATTTACGAAATTAGCGTTAGCAACACAATTTGTGTATTTATACTCAATAAAAAAAAGTTCTTATGGTTTAAAGTAGCTTTCGTAACAGCATTCAAAATACACTGAACACGATAAAAAAACCTTTTCCTTCAAGTCACTTTTAAATGGAAATAGATAAATGTACGATAACTCACTGGGATGCATGTTTTACAATCAAAATTTTAAGCTGGAAAGTACTAGAAAATTGATGAAAAAAAGGAACTTAATTCTGTTTTTTTTCAGTTCTACAAGAAATCGAACTTTCTACTCAGAGGATAGTTTTCCCACATCGTTCAAGATCGAGGCATTGTCATTGAAAATCAGTCTTTGGTTTTAAACCAATCTAACAATAACCTAGGTAGTCACATTTGAGTCATACAGTCATTAAAAACTATAAATATGGAACACATACTTCCTATGATTAATTTTAACTGTAGCAACAAATAAAAAATTTATACACGAAACGAGACCAGCTTAGCTTTGTGACTAAGTAACCAGACATAATTTGGCAGTAGTAATAAAACTTTTAAATTCCTATCATCATGAAGAGAGTGCAGGATAAAATTAATCCCAGAATCTGAAAATTAAAATATTTAGATTAAAATACATTAATAAAGCCCAAAGCTCTATTATAACAGAAAGATATACCAAAACTTAAAAAATAATCGAACATAAATTGCTGGCAACATTAAACAACAACAACTTAAAATGGGTTCCATTTAAACAAATATAAAAAAAACTCGAATATTTTACGTATCAAAAGTATCAAAATTTAATTTCAACCAAATAACCTGTGATTGAAGATATCAATAAAGCGATTGAAGAATCATGTTTTTTAGTTACTACGAGCCTTTGTTTTCTGTACAAACTGGATGGATTTTTTTTCCTTTCTCAGGTATATCAGCTAAGTTCGGATTGTCGAACTTTGTGCACAATATTTTTAATGCGATCTCAGAAGCAGGTTAAATACCGGAGTAATACAGCAATAGACAAACATTAAGCACGAAGCTTCAGTGTCAAATAAACTAGAAATAAGCTCCACTTAAAAAATAAATAAATTCGGTGGTGGTTAATAGGCTGGTTTAAGATTCATCGATAAGTAATAATAAGTGTGCACAATTTCGGCAATTACTATTTTAAAGACTTGGTTAGTAGGAGCTTTGAATGGAAATACTAGTATCGAAATTCATCTTTATAAGTCCTCAGACTTACCGCTCAGCCACTGTGTGACGCCACTAATGAAAGCGAGATTTCTTGAATACGGTTTCGCGATCCTTAATGCTATCAAAGACCACTAGGAACATCATAGTCGAACTTCGTACAATACTTACTTAAATTCTGTGAATGTTAATTTATTCTTTACCATTTTCTTGTGCAAGATATTTTGCTATACACATATCAACATGATCTTATGTGTATACCGCAAGAAGGTGAATGCAATTATAAAATAGGAAATGTAGAGCATGTTCAAACGGTGTTCACTTTTAGTTCAGTGGTCCCCAAACTTATTCCAGATGAAGACCAGCTAGTTCCGATCCTACAATTTCACAAACCGCTTCGTACAGACCAGCTAACCCTACAATTTCACAAACCGCTTCGTACAAACAGTATTTTAAAGTACTTTTAAATTACATTGATAAACAATACACTTCAGTAACAATATTTTCAAAGCAAATATTTTGTTTTTCAAACGTCGTCTTGAGCACTGACTCAAATCTTACTGTGGACTCGACAGTTAGAAACCACTGCTTTGAAATATGAGAAAGATCAAAAGGTTTTTTTTTTGTTGTTGTTGTTTTACTTACCAAAACACAGGCAATCCCTATTCCTATACCCCCAAGAACCATCGCATGATCTTGTACAAAACTTTTCACGTTTTCATAGCATTCCTATGCAGATACAAAACATAGAAATGTTAACACTTGAGACACTATTATGTTCAGATATAACTTATATTCTGAAATTCGAACATAAATGTGTATAATTATGGTTTTTCAAAGGTAACCAGTTATCAAATATATCTCTTCAAGAAAAGTTCAAGTCTCAAAGGTATGTGGCAGGGCAATAATATAGGCAGTTTTTACAGCAGTGTAATTACAACAGTATCTTCATTTAATTAAGCACTATGAAGATTAGGGCTAACTTAACAGCTACTAATATTTAGTAATAAGGGCGACCAATTATTTTACACATTTATAATATGCAAACTTTATTTTGAGGGTCGCAGATTTTACAAAATCGAGTATTTTTCAAAGTGAATTCTTGTTTCCCAAAACACTCATACAGTTCTTTTCTAGCCATAATTTTAATTCGCCTGTTTGTGTTATATTCGCAAATAAACTTTAATATTCTAAGATGGCGAACCATTACATATTTGGGCCATGCTTGACGTTTTTTTGTTGTTTTTTTCAAAGTATCATGGCTATGTACAAAGCCACACAATGAACTATGTGTGCTCTGTCCTGGAGTTTAACGTTGCAAGTTCGTAAACTTACAACTGACCTACTAGAGAATACCTGGCTATGCAAATTTTGATGAAAACATGAAATGTGAAAAAAATTAGTTCCAATGAATAACGAATAGGTTAAAAAAAACAAAAAACGCATGTCCTGTCCAATGAACCATTTCATTAACATAATACTGAATTTAATGAAAGTCAACGTATTTTAGGGTTGTTTGTTTGTAATTAAGCACAAAGCTACACAATGGGTTATCTGTAATCTCCCCACCAAAGTTATCGTTTGGGGCACGTGTTTTAGAAACGCATGCGTTAATATATAATAAGAGGTATAGCTTCAAACTATTACATTAATTACATTAATTGTCAATAGGCGATCAAGATCAGCACTATAAAACAATAATGAACTTAATAGAAATTAAAAACGTATCCAAAAGTCATAACGCAGATTGCCTGTGGTAATAGCACCCAAAAGCGTTGGATATATCCCATCTATTAGACAAAATCCAAAAACCAGATGAGAAACCAGTCAGTCAACAGTTGTGGAAAATTCAGTAACGGTACAGAGTTGAGTGCTTACACCCACAACGTCTCAACTCTTACTGCCTTTCACTGTCTGCAGCCAGTTGTGGGAAGGCAGTTACCTTTAAAAAAGATGTAATAAAGTTAAAAGTAGAAATAAGATAAAATTAAGCCACACCAAAAAATATATACTTCTACTAAATAATGCCTACCATCCTCCACCCTTAAAAGTTCTAAAAAATCCTTAAAGTAGAATAAATACCACCCTAATAATTTTACTACACGTTACTCCCAACCTCCACCCTTTTCTGAAAATGACATATTAAAAAAGATCTTAAAAGAACTACAAGACTTACCTTAAGTAGTTATTATTGACACATTATTCAAAAGCCCCCCAGTGGCACAGCGGTATGTCTGCAGACTACAACGCTAGAATCCGGGTTTTGATACTGGTGGTGGGCAGAGTACAGACAGCCCATTGTGTAACTTTGTGCTTAATTACAAACAAACATTATTCAAGTATAGCATGGGATAGCTGAGACAAGCCCAACTACTTGAAGTTAGTCTTTCCAGTCCAGGCTCTACTAAATAAATTTAACTTGCATATTAAAGGTAGCTACCTACCTCTAGTGACAAAAAAGGTTTTTTCCTCATTGAATATTTATCTAATAAAATATTTTGAAATTTATTATAAAACTTGCGAAAAACTTTAGATTTTGTCCGATAGATGGGATAACACCAACGCTTTTGGGTGCTATTACCACAGGCAATCTCCGTTATGACTTTTGGATGACGACCGGAAAGTGCGTAAGGTTTTTTTTTTTTTTTTTTAAATAGAGTTTGGAATTTATATATAAAGAAAAACAAAACAGCAAAAGGCTTCAAAAACTAATCGTAATAGTTTGACTTGGCAAAAACTCTGCATTTGCGTTTTTTTCTCTGAATGTAGTTAATTAATCAAATTTTTCCTTAGAATGCATGACATTTATTCAGAGAGGGCACTTAACTGAAACGATTGTGACTCAAAATGACTTTAGGTTAACTTGTACTGGCCCGGCATTTTTTCGAATTTATCTACTGCGACTGAGCACAATATAATCTGATCTACGTCACATTCATACCTGCCAATTAAATTGATATGTAATTTGAACAATTGAGTAAAAAAAAAAAAAGTTTGACTATGTATATTAGTTATATAATACGAACACGTGTATTAAAGCATATTTTTCTGCACCAATCAACATGTGTTACAACTAATTTTGTTAATATTTTCGTGTTAAGTTTAACATCTTTATTAATTCTCAAATTATACTCTTATTTACAAACCGTTCACTGCTGGTGGGGGTCTAAAGATTGTATCATATGCATTAAGTATCTTTTTTTTTTTTTTTTTTTACCTGTCACGTCACTCAGCGTAAGAAATTGATAGAAAACAAACACACTTTGCGAAATGATTTTTTCATGCAAGGAACTTACGGGAATCCAATAGTATTTACGGAGATTAATTGCAATATTGATGGTATTTTTTGTTTACATTTCCGTGATTTAAATGTTATTAAAAATCCCGTAACCAATAAAGTCATGGACCCACACACAGTTCGATGCATAAATAGTTCAGTAAAAATGTATTTAATATTTTACGAGGCAACCTTAGGCTCAAGTGTCTTCCACAGGGTATCGTTCTAAAGACTAGTAATACAATGACCCCCTCCCCCTGAAGTGTCCATTGGCAGCTTGACTAAATAATTTTTATATTATTAGACACATTTCAAAATCTTTCATTGTTAGGCGGGAAAGGGGATTATACACTGCACACGTTCTTATAGAAATTTGTTGGAAACAAACCATTAACATAATAATACTACGCACGTACCATTAGTTTTTAATTTGGATATCCAGCTTAAAAAGCTAACAAATATATTTTCATTATTTGGCCTTACATTCGTCCACGCTGTATCCGACGAAGGATTCTTCTGACACTGAGAAATCACCGTTATTGATTTACAGCAGCTCTTTGGAACCCGAGGTCCAGTCATTTTAAAGTTTGTGTTCATGTCCATCCAGATCCTGTACGGTAAGTACGAACTGTCACCATCAGGTTTAATCCCACAGCATTCAAACTGAAAAATAAAATCGTAATAAAAGTTTTAACATAAGGGTACTGTAATCAAGGTATACCACTACTGTTAACAATTACGACCGGGACTATTATATAGACCTTCACCATTAAGTCTTCTTGGGGTCATTTATGGTAAGAATTCCTGTGAGGAATTATGTGCAAATTTTATCACTCGCATAAAGAAGCCTCTCGGTTACAATCCCCCACCCCAACTCAAGAACAACTAAATCCTAGAGATCAATTAAAATTCATGATTCATCCTAATCACAAAGCCACAATCCTCATGAAACACACAGAGAAAAGTATAAAGAGCATTACCAAATCCCTTCATTAACGACAAAGCACAGCCAACCAACAAAGGAATATCTGCTTTAACCCCATGTCGACATGTTTGTTTCAACATTGTTACGAACAATGCAAGTTTTACTTGCTCAAGTGCTAACAATGCAACAAAAAATTAAAATAAGGGTAACAATCAAAATACGTTTCTGCTAACAATGCAACCACATATGAAGTGTAACAATTATAATACATTTATCGTAGTCTACAGCACCAACTTTTTTTATTTCTAAACTTTTATTATTCAATGATGAAAAGCGATCAATAAAATCTCACTTCGTCAGCATTGGACATAACAGGATTTAAAGGAAAACAATTAAAATGTGCACTAAAACGTACCTGCTGTTGTATTGCATCCCAAGCTTCCGTTACTGCTGTGACATTCATATACTGCTTAACACTTTTCAACATCCCAGTATGCATGTGCTGCTCCACCTGACAAAAATGTTTTCAATGAGTAAAAACCACACTTACCTCACCATAAAAAGTTATCTACTGAAATTAAAGGTAGTTTGGTTAGTTTATACAGGGCTGGCACAAAATAATTTTGGATATAAATGTACAAGTAGTGGGACAACCATACAATCTACAGCTTTATCAGTTGATAAAGGTGTGTAAAAATACGTGCAGAACACATTTATGACACAAAATATACAAGGTGACCTTAAAATCCTATTGGATTATCAGGTGACGTCACTGTCACACTTAAAGGTGAGTTGGATATCAGATCTCCTTTCACTCATCGACAGAAATTGTTACAACTTTTCAATGTTATTACTTCTCATAAAACACACACGTGTATATATTTATTCAACTCGTGCCACACTATACGCCACGTGGGTATTTCCAATACGTTTTTAAACACCTGTATCACCTGATTAAGCTGTAATTTGTAGGATTCTTCCACCACATAGTTTTTAATCCAAACTTATTTTGAAGCAGTCCTGTATGAAACAATTTTTTTTATTAAAGCGCATTATACCACCTGAAAATCGTTCTTTCCTTGCGGAAAATAAAAAACATTGTAGATTATAATAAAAAACATTCAGTAAAAATACGCCGATACGATTCTGGTGAACTTGTTTGTACCTCCTAAAGTATAACAACTGTATTTAAACGAAAATTTCAGCATGTATGGTATTTGCAAATCACTTATATACTTCAGTTTTAGAAAGAAGTCACAGGAGTTTAAAGTACTTTAAAAAACGAACACCGATACCAGTTTCCGAGATAAAAAAAAAAAAAGCTATTCGGTTTTTGAATGTTTAAGGAAACTTTCCAGTTTTTTTTTACGTAAACTGCACTTAAGTTACAAGTTTTTTTTTATAAACAGACAGAACAGAAGACTAGCTTTTCTCCCAAAGCTACACAAAGGTTATATACGCATAGCCGTCACTAATTTTAAACTGATCAGTCTATAATGAGGGCAGCTAGTCAACATCACCCACTGACAGTTCTGGGCTATTCATAGCGAGATTTGACCTTTTACTTTTATAATACGTTCACGGCACCGAAGTGCGAAGCGCGTTTTTGCGAGAACGAGACACGAATATGAACCTTCGGAATCATAGTCTAGACACGTTAACCCCTGGATACCACCATAGTATGAATATTAATATTTTGAGAGAGAGAACTGGAGGGTGGGGAAATGCTTGGAAAGGTCAGACTCAGCTACCGAGAAACAGAAGTAATATACAATGATATGCAATGATTTTGTACAGCAAGAAAGACTTTATGTGACGATAACATTGCACTTCAAGGATGTGCTAAACTTTTGAAGTTAATCGCAATTTAAATGTCCCGTGTTATCCTTGATACTACTTAATCCATTGTCGATCCGGCTAGTCTAATGATTATGTGCTATTGCCCAACATCACAGTATTTAATACAACAATCCTCCCTGAAGGAAAACGAAGTAAATCTTAGATCACATAGAACACATTCTACTTGGACGTTAGCCTAGAGAATTATGTTGAAGCAGAACAATACACAAAAGTTGAATGGTTCTGTACTGGAAGACGTGACTGAATGGGACTGCTGTAGTTCCAGTTTCGTTAACCATCTTTCTCATGAAGGCAGCCGTGGACTTCGAGGTATGACTATTGGATAATGAATCTTCGTCAACTTTAAAATCTACATTCATGATCTTGTCAACTGTACTAAGAGATAATCACAATTCTATTAAAATGTTATGCTCTCTGGCTCCGCAGCTTTCAACAGTCTAGCCATACGAATATCCAGAATAGATAAGCAACAGGACAATGGAAGTCTAAATGAAAAGTTACAGACCCCTGTGAAAAGTTACCGATTGGTGGAATTCCCCGAAACCAGTATAACTCAGTGACAAGTGGTGAATGGATGATAGATTGGGCTTCATATTGCTTTTTACATCCTAAAAAAATTTCATTATCCACTGCTCAAAGCAAAAATAATCTTAGATATTGTCTGTCCAACCTTTATCCAACTATATTTGTCACTAAGCAATAGAAATGCATAACCTACAAGATCACATGTGGATACAACAAAGAATACACTGGGGAATCACAGCTATCACCGAATATAATATTTTTGTTAAAGAGGTGTGTGTGTGTGTGTGTGTGTGCGCGCGAGTGTTCAGTTGACCGATGATGACCTTAGAGGGCACCGTTTAACAAAAAAAAAATTAAAAAAAAATTCTGTTATTCAATGCCAGAATAACATTTGGACGCTCACTGTTACTAAAGAATAGAGCTATGTTGATCAACTTTTATTTCATTTTGCGGAAATCGGCGAAAATTGCCGAAATTTAACAAGGAAAGTGACGTCGCAGTTACGAGATAGAACATAGACCCTGAATCTGTGAAGCTACGTATAACACTGCTTAATGTAATTTTAAATTTGCTACGTGTACCTTAACAAACATTTGAAAGTTTTTAGTAAATATTAAACGTCTTTTGTACACAAAAAATAACTTTTTAATAAAGTATTTCTTACTAACGATTTGTCTGTAAAACTTAAAAACCATTACTAAATCCTATTTTCAAGGAAAGGCGATTTTCATGCTAAGAATCAAAATAGTTATTTAAATATTACAGTATTAGTACTTAAAACCTCCTAAATGAATAATAAATGTTTTTCGGTAAATCTATTTCACCTCTTATTTTCTCTACCCTAACACTAACTAAGGAAATCAGTCTACAGCGAAACGAAAATTAAAACAACAACAACAAAAAAAGACAAGATGAATAACTTTTTTTCTCTTTTGAACTGGGTAATAAATTTAAATTTTTTTAAATACTCATCTTCATAGTTTCAACTATTAAGCTTTTCACGAATGTTTTCCTTTATTTTTAGGGTTTTGTTGCCTTAGTTTGGACTACATGTAGGAGCAGTTTTCTCTTCCAACAAAAGCAGTAAGTCACAGCGGAAACCCATTAGCTGTTTCACATAAAGAGCAGATGATCTTTGCGTAAGTCTAATTTTGTCTCTTAAATTCGGGTCTCCAAAAAACAAACAAAAACCGACAACAAAAGCAGATTTCAAATATGCATCTTAAAACATGCAAAATAAAACAAAGTTATTGTGTTTATGTTTGTACTTCCCCTTAGCTGGTTTACAACATTTCTACTTTTGCCGAGAGTGTACTAGACTATTAACTATACTGCAAACGTGTTAGTTATTTAACTTTTCTTACGAGGAAACGATGAAAGCTACGTACAGTCCTTCTCAACGACACCAGACCATATATAAAGTAGAAAAATATTTATTTTCGAAATGGGAAAAATTCAACAGGAAAAGCAAAAGAACGAACAGAATTGAAATTTCTGAATGCTTACCAAAAATAAATCACAAAACTTAAGGTGTTTTTGTTTTTTTTAAACAGATGTTAGGCTTAAGAGCTATTTTAACAGGAAAAATTCTTGGTACAACAAAACAATGCCAACATGATACTAGTAATTTTATTGGCCATAATCTTTCATATTTACAAAAAGGTGTCATCATATATTTGAATGTTTAACCGGTAATGTAAAACTGCGGTTGGACTTTAGTCAATGTTATATCTGCAAGCAATATTAGAATAACAAACTAATATTAAGTAAGTCATGTGACCGAGAACAGGAAAATTAAGACGTTTCAGTTTTGTATTTGAAAATTAGAGGTGCGAATATCCTAAAACTGAAATTTTGAAGAACTTACCTCATTACGAAACACAAATCCTAAGATTCCTCCCACAAGCATTATGATAAATATCATGAAAAGGATAACGAAGAACTGGGAAAGAAACATTTAAAGTTTGTTACTTATAAACAAGATATTCACATTGTGCGTGTTCACGTTGAATCGAACACCAGTTAAAAATAATAAATACAAGTTACATACAAGTTAGATTTTACAGAAAACAGTTACTATTTTAATACACAAAACCGAGTCACAGAGCTTTAGACACGTAATCTTTGTTATTATATAGAAACTGATACCAATACTATAGTTCTAATGAAATTATTCACACTTATAACTGAAATTAAACTTCCATTTAAAAACAAATTACGACTTTTACCCAATTTTAATACCTCCTTTAAAATTCACTGGATAAATTCCAGCCAATTACCAAAACAGGATTGCCTGTTGAAGAACGTAGTTTACATTTAGTTTTGTTTGAGATTAAGTGATTTTGAATTCAGTGAAAACTGCAGCTTGTTATTATAGCTCGTGGATCTTGCAAGTGAACGAGAATAAAGAAAAGTGACTGAATTTAAAACAAATCAGTAATAACAGATATTTTCAAATGGTATCGATTTTTCTAATCTACTACATAACAAATACAACGGATTACATAAACTGAAACCACCACTGACCAGGATTTCTTGAAAGGGACAGTCTCAAAATGCTGAATAATATTTCATCTAAAGTCAAAATCACGCCTAACTTCCTGGTAATTCTTATAGCGGAACAACCACAGCCAAACTCATTATTCAAGAATGTTTTATTATATATATATATATATATA